TTTTAGAAAAGTTTACTTCGTTTCTTTTGAAATGTGAATAATGTTTTTGGAACCTCCAGTAATGCTGAATCATGACAGGGCTAACAAAGATTTAAGAAAACCTAGCCTCATAGGGTAAAAAGCTGCTTCCCATCATCTGCTAGTGCATTGATGATGAATTTTTCTCTTCAAAGGAACATAATTGAAACGCATGACGCTCAATATGACCCAGTGGTGTTAATTGAAGTTTTTTGAAGTTTAATTTGTTGACCAAGAAAAGTTATGGCTGTTGATTTTACAGCGTTTTGGCCTTGACCTTTGAACCAGCTTGACTGGTTAAAACAAATCAAAAATTACATGTTTTGCTCTCAGGAAACTCCAATTGAGCATTTTCCTGAAACGCAATCTACTTAGGCATTGAACTGGTTTTTTTTTTTTTAATAAAAACAATCAGAAGCCTCCTTAACACAAAGCTCTTCCCTCTCAAGCCCACAAAATGCAAATTTTCTGGAGGCCTTTTGACTATTATTTCACTGACACAGGAATGAGAAAAGCAATACAAATATTACTCAATATTTTTTGAAATGAAATGACTAATTTGGCAAATGAACCCTTGCCTCCAAGTTCATCATCCTGTCCACTCATTCAAGAAGAAATTGAAAACCCAGGATATCACCAATTACCATTTCCTTTAATTGTTCTCCCCCCCCCCCCCCAGATAAAATTTTAATTTTTCTTATTCAAATTCCTCTGTTGATAGATACACTTACTTCAAATAGGAGTTAAAGGGGTTCCATTTTATCCTATTTTGAATTTCATGGCAAAACCTCTACCCTCAACAAGCTTGATAATACAGTTGATCCCTGCACAATAGACTGCCTCTGGAGGTGGTTTTCCCTCCAGTGCAAAGGACTAAATCTGCATTACAGACTTCTGTTGGTTTTAAATTCCAGACTTCTGTTGGTTTTAAATTCCAGACTTCTGTTGGTTTTAAATTAATGGTTAAAAGAGAAACTCTCAATTTTTTTGAAATTGAATTTGCATAACAGCCTTTTTTCATAACAGAATAGCGTAGTCTGTTGCAAAAAGTAATTAAATTGTGTGGGGTTTGACTAAATAAAAATGAAAATTATTCGTTGTAAATTGAATTGAAAGACATCATCTCCCTTCCTAAATTCAAATCCACAGCTTCTTCAGCATTCGCTGTAAAACGCGATTTCAACACATTTTAAAAACGGTATTTTTTCACTCAACCCACTTTCCGACATCAATGAGCGCTTTAATGATTAATCAATTATTTATCTATCAATAATCACATAAGAAAAACATCCACAACAGAAGATGTAAACCAAGCGCATCACCACTCCAGCACAGAAGCATCGCCAACAGTCGACAATGCTCTGCTAATACTACAGTTAATAACTAAGTCAAAAGCAATGCTGCTTTCCTTGCTGAACTCCGTCGACTCACTGGACTTTTGACGAACAACCGGTTACATCATTCATGGCTCCCACAAGCCCGCATTCAGGGTTTTATTGTTGTGGCGCGGTTTTCCAGCACACCGAGAATCGATGGGCCACGAACTGCAGCAGGCTATGATTGTCAAGCAAGCCAGTGTGTGGGCCAAAAAGGCCAGGCGTGTTCATTTCTGCTTTGGCAATATACCCGAAGGGAACATACGAGGGTTCGTTCATAAGTTCAGAAAATTGTTGAAATATGTTCAATAGAATTACAGCAACTCATCCAAACTTTTGTTTTTCTTTACTGGCATAGCCCCATAATTTGACAGCACTGCGGTGCTGTTTGAAACTGTCTCCGCCGATTTCAATGCAATTTTTTCATGCAATAAACCGAATTATCAAAACAGTGACAAAAATTGATAATTGCCTTAGTTGATCGTCAAACTGCTCTTTTCAATGGAAATGAAGTTTCAACTGTTACCAAAAGCAATCCCTTTCAGATCATCTTCAACCGTCGGGGGGCCATGCATTTTTTAAATTATTTTCAACCGGGAAAAATGCATCCAAAAAATGTTTGAAAAAAAAATCAATGACCAAAAAATGCTTGTTTCTTTTTGGCTGTTCCCGACCTTGAAGAATGATCTGAAAGGGATCGATTTTGAGGATAGTGACAGCTTCATTTCCGTCGCCAGAGAGCAGCTTATTGACGATCAGCTAATGCACGCAATCATCTATTATTTTGGCAATTTTTCAATCATCGGATTTATTGTTAGAACCAAATGCATTCAAATTTTTGGAGACTACGTTGAACAGCACTGCAGTGCTGCCAAATTATGGGGCTATGCAAGTAAAAACAAAAATCTAAAATTGTTGGAACTCCGCTGGATCTATTTAAAAAAAAAGTCTCACAACTTATGAACCAACTCTGGAGCAATAAGCAATAAGGGAAGACGAGACGGAAGAAAGGGAATTTGGGACAATGATGCCTTCGGAAACACATTTTTCCAGGTCCCAGGGCCACGCGGGTGGAAAATGTTGCCCCAATTTCGTTGCCCCCGCAAAAACCGTGCTTCTTGAATCGCTGACACATTGATTACTGTGCCTTCAAAGCCACCCAGGTGACACTTATGACTTGACGAAACTTTCGAAAGAATGATGGAGACCTTCAAAATCATCCCATATTTTTCATTTTTTTTTTACCATGTTTTTATGAACACACTTTCTTGTCTGTCTGTCTGTCTGTCTGTTTGTCTGGATCAAATTTTGAAACTCAAATTTCACTCACTTCCAGACTAGCTAGCAAGCTGAAACTTTCAGGATAGCTTAGAAACTGATGACAATGCAATCTTTTGTGAAAAAATTAATTTTCAGAATATTTTTTAAAAAGAATAAAATAATTTTAGTAGATTTCTATAATAAAACTTTGAGCAGGTTTTCCTTGGCCCCAAGAAAAAAACCCATGGTGAACTGAATTGGTCGCAGAGGTCCGAGTTCAATCCCACCCCCTGGAACATTTTTTTTTCTAATTAATTAACANTGAAGATCTGGTTATAAATTTTGTGCCTGTTCTTCTTGTGTGCGACCATTTTGCTCACCCTCTTAGGGTTAATATTCTCCCGCTCGGCTCAAGGGGGTTTTTTAGTTGCTGCTGACAGCATTATTGCCATCAGCTCTTCTGGATTTTTGGCACTCAAAAAGAGAAAGGCCTAAAATAACATCAAATGTCTTTTGACTTTATGCAAAAACATGACACCCCTTCCAGAAAATCTCCACACCATATTTGCATTCTTTTTTCCTCAAAGCACTACCGGGAATTATTTTACACTTAGAATGTTAGGTAGAAAACAAAAAACTGAGCTTCACTTAAATTTTGTCCCATTCACATGAAAAAAGTAGCCTACACAGACGTATTTACCCTCCAGCATTCCTTTCTGTGAATTTGTAAACTCTGTAAATTCATTTTGAATGAATTCAAAGTTCCAGAGCCTTTTAGATCTGAGTACAGGAGGACTCTCTCTCTCCCTCTACCACAAAAGTCATGGGACCAGAAAAATTGGTTGTACAGATAATTTTTTTGTCGAGAATTTCTATAGCATGGGAAAAAAATATCATGGGACCTAAACAAAATTCATTATACAGAGAAAATTGTTGAAGACGAGATTGTAATATAATTAGATTAGTCCACCTGTATCATACCATATGTCGATGTTCACAAAAGTTCTTTCGCAGTTTTGAAAATATCGTTAAATTCAACTTAGAAATGGTTTGTTAAAATAAATTAGATTTTTTCCACAAATTATGCTAGTCATTTCTGCAGGGAAACTTATGTACTATGTACTTATGTATGCCTGAAAAGGCCCAAATAGTTTTACTTTTTGTAAAAACTGATTAGTATTCAAAAATTACGTATTTTATCTGAGAGAGGGGCATTACGTTCATTAGAATAATGAAAGGTTCACACAGTATTCCTGATTTCAAGCCTCTAATTTTACGAACTCAAATTCATGGAATACTCTATATCATTTTCAAATGAAGTATTATAAAAAGTTCTGCACTGCACTTGGATATGATATACTGTATTGGCGAGCAAGATTTTTGGTTAGGAAAATATATTCATCCGCCCACACCCTTCAAAGCGTACGTTCACTTCGGAAACTCCCCCGCGGATACTAAAATTCCCCAACTGCACCTTAGCAAGCGGCTCTCCCTTGCAACATTTTATTTTTAATTTTAGTTTCGTTCATTTTGTTTGTAGGAGCGACGCTTTATTGCCAGGCGTGTGGAATTACAACCCTGGGTCGCCAACGTCGCCCACGACCCTGAGCCCGTGAGTGTATAAGGGAAGCTCAAAAAATATCAGGGTTTCCAAAAGTGGGATACAATTTTCAAAGGAATGTCTGGTTTCTGTGTCGAGTGCCCAAATTCCAACACTACCTCGAACTACTGTCCAGTACTTGGCTCCAAGTAGGCTTTTTATACGGAGAAAATAATTTGCTTTCCACAACACCATTTTCTTTAAATTATGATTGAAAAATTTCAGTCATAGGTTCCTGACATCAGTTACAGCAGAGCTTCAACATACCTTAGAACCCTGTACAGCTTTACTTTTAGAGTCATTTTTATGAAAATGTTGGTTTTAAATTTAATTTTTTTTAAATGAATGGAAGGGATCCTGAACTTTTTCGCTCACAACTTTTTTTAAATTAACAATTTTTGTGGGCCCCGCGAGAGATATTTTATTCTTCCGAAATGTTTTTTTGTCTCACGCTGAACACTTCAGGTTTCTGGCATGCTTACTTCAAAATTTCTCCAAGATTTCAATGCAGCTCAATTTTGAAGTACAGCATTGTGAATGCCGTTGTTTAGTCTCCCATGAAAAGATACAGGGAAGGTGCGGTAAAATTATGTACGAGGGTTCTAACGAAAGTTCACGGAATAGAAATGAAAATGTTATACAGTATACTTGAGCTGAAAAAAAATTATTCTTTAGGGAAAGGATATTCTTTGGCAAAAAAAATCAGCCCTGTTTGACAAATTTCTTGAATGTTTTGCAAAATTAACCCTGGCTGAGTTTTGCTCTCCACTCGAAAGATGAGGTGCCTTTCCTGCAGTCTTTAGTTGCTGTTGTTGTTGTTGTAGCCCATCTTTCCCCTCAGAATTCTTGAAATCAATGTGGCATTAATTCCAAGTGTTGCCTCCAGGTCTTCCAAGGTAAGAGCAGTAGGTCTTCCAAGTGGAGAGCAAAACTCCGCCAGGGTGAATTTTGCAAAACATTTCAAAAAAATTTGTCCAACAGCGTTGATTTTTGTGTGCCAAAGAATATGTTTTCGCGAAAGAATAAATTTTTTTCAGCTCAATTATACGCCATTTTCATTTCTATTTCAAGAACTTTTGTTAGAACCCTTTTAAGTCCGCTGGCAGGGGTCCACAGAAGTTTTCTGCTGGTCTACCAAAAATTTTCAACATAATAAATTCACCAAAAGTCGGGGATGAAGTCTGTTCTCAGTGGGAACTTTTCAATCTGCAAAATTGTTTTAGCGAATTTGCCGGTCTGCGGGCCCGAAAAGGTTGGGGAACACTGGTTTAAATCACGATTGCATATTTTTTATACAATACAATACAAGGGAGGAAGAACCAGGATGGAACCCGTGATCAAACACTTGAGCACATCCCCAAAACTGCGAGTACTTGCATGACACGAAAATTCCACAAGGCTTGTCACTCCATCATAGACCGAGTCTCAATGAAATAAATTATTTTCCACAGCAATTTATACAGAAAAAAATCTGCATAAATTTCTTCACTCGCTTACCAACTATTCAAGGAATGTCAGAGTCCAAAGCAATAAAATGGGAACCCTTTTGAGTTTAATGGGGTAAACCAATTCCAGTAAAACACTTGCTGAAGCACTTTGAAGCACAGGAGTTTCAGAGATTTTCAAAACAAGGGCATTTATGTAAGAATTTCAAGCAGGACCTTTTAAAATTTCAGGTCATGCTTTCACGAGATCAGATAAAGTTTTCCTGCAAACATCCAGTGCCAATGTAAAGTTTTTACATTGAATAAATTTGTACAGTATTTAAAATCAGGATTCAAAATACAGTCCCAACATCGTGCCATTCTTACTTCCGTCGAAAAAAAAAGCAATTCCAACAGGTTTGATGATTCAGCATGACTTTACTAGTTCTAAAAATTAATTTGCAGAAGATCGTACCCATCTTGAGCTTCTGCTATTCTTAAATCACGTATTTTTCGAAAAGAACCATTACAAATCGCAGCAAAGATGAATAAAAAAGACTCGGAAGTAAATTCTGAACTAATTATATCCTTCAAGTACTGGATAATCGAAAATGTAAATATTTCGGATATGAATATAGGTCGAATTCCTTCTCCAACAAAATTCAAGAGACCTCACAAAATTTCCTAGTAAAGAATAACCCCTATAGCATGGGGAGAGAACCCTATGCTAAAAGGGACCACAAAAGATATCGTTAAACAGAGAGGATAGTTGCAGACAAGATTATTGTAGAAAATGGAGTCCACCTCCGACAACACAGACCAACCAGTCATTTATTCTTCCCACTCCTGATGCAAATTTTAAATATTTTACCAGAAACAGTAACTTTACATGGGCAGTTCCCTGAAAGTCATGAAATTTTTTACGAGCCCTCGCTACTCTCCAGTCACACCAACGCAATGTTTTACTGTTTTTTTTTCGTTTTTACGTCCGGAGTATCCTCCCTGGTTCCAAGGGCATCTTCACAATGGGAGCCGGAAACAGGGATGGGTTTTTCTAGCTTTATTTTTATTTTTTTCGTTCAGAGCATTTCAGGCAACGAACGTGCCCGCAGGGTAAATAAGTTTCTTCATACCACCGATACTGAAACACATGGCTGCATTCCAGTCTCTGAGGTCATTCAGGACAACCTACTCATCACTTTTCGTTGCAATTAGGGCCAGCGAAAGCACCCCGTTGTCCTACAAATCATCGAAGATTTTTAAAATGTCTACGCTTGTATTATCAATTCGGTTCTAGCCGGTATCTTGCTACAACAAGCTTCCATGGAGCGGAAGAAAATGGGCTTCACGAAAGATTTGATACGGATTTCGAGATTCTCATGAAAAATAATCGAACATTTTACCGGTAGAGAAGAAACAAGGGTAATTGTCATTTTTATGAAAATTTTCGTTTGAAATTTAAATTAATGGTTCATGAAATTTAATGGTTCATAAGTTTTGAGACTTTTTTAAATAGATCCAGCAGACTTTCAACAATTCAAAATAAAAATTTTATTTGCGAAGTCCCATCATTTGGCAACAATTCTTTGTTGTTGAACATACTCATCGCCGATTTCTGTTCAGTTTTCCATGCAATAAATCCAACAATTAAAACTTGGCCAAAAATCGAGTTCTGTTGGTTAATTAGGCACCCTGCCGATTTATTGCATGGAAAAAGGCATAGAAATCAACCGAGAGTATGTTCAACAGCACTAAAGTGTTGCCAAATGATGGGGCTATGGGAATACAAGAAATATTTTGAATTGGTGAGACTCCCATCATGTATCTATTTCAAAAAGCCTCAAAACTTGTGAACCAACCACTGTAAATTGTAAGAAAGCGATTTTTTTGGACACAGCAATTCACTCACTTGAAGAAATTTAAGAAATTTGTCCAGGCAAAAATTGACTTATTGCAGCAGAATTGCAGTGAAAAACTTTCTCTAGTAGAAAAAATTTCCAATCATTCTTATAGCAAGTATCAAGAAAAACCACTACAAATATATTTTCTTGCTGTCAATTACAGTGAAACCCCAAGATGTCGACGTAATTGGTGCATAAAGAGTGTCCATAAGTCAAGTCTCATTTTCCATTAGACTTACAATATATAATTTTTAATTTGTGTTTTATGCACAAAATACTCAACATAATTCTATGAAAATAAAAATTGTCTCCCAATGTAGACTGATCCCAATCAATATATATTTCAACACAATATGGGAATTTGGGGAATTGAATACTGATACCTCTGTATGCAGTACATAGAAATGTTGGCATTTTCTGTAAAAATGATTTCAAGTGAAAAAAAGAATGAAGTCCCTCTCTGCTGGAGGTACTTTTTTTAATGGCTAAATGGATGGTAAATTGGTGAGAGAAATGCCCAAGAACTTTTCTTACACCAATTTTAGGGTTGGAAATATCTGTTTCTTGTAATTTGGCCTAAAATGTATTTGCAATTTTTGAACAAAATGTCCCTATGTTGAGTCAGTGTCCTCATGTCAGGCCTATTTTATTAATTTTTCTGTTAAAATTAGTGTCCCCATGTCGAATTGTCTGCAGGTTGAGGTGTCCCCATGTGGGGGTCTGACTGTATTTTGTGAAAATGAGACCTAGTACTGTACTATAGTATCTCTGAAGTTTACCTTAAAAAAAAGTGTCTCGCATTCATAAAAGTATTCCAAAATTGTATATGTTTCGAATAATAAAATTTGATTAAAGTTATAGAGGTACAGCGTACTAAAATGAAAACATTCAAGTGTGATATCCATCACTGACGATCTTCCACAGAGTAAGTACCGGTGCTCCACGTTATTACTGAGTGATGAGTAAGAATGACTAAGAATGTGAGTCAGTTTCCAGTACCAGCTTTAAATTCCTCATCGCATAAATTAATTATTAACAACAATTATTCCGTCTTCCAACTTCCATGTGTCATCGCTGAATCGGAAATGAGAGAAAAAGTGAACTATGTGAGTGCAGCACGAACTTCTACGAATGCTTATGGTGAGTCAACTCCATGACTGTTGAACACTGACTATATGGAGATAAAAATTTGTTTCCGTTCCACGAAGTGCAGGAATGGTGATAATAAAATCACCATGCGCAGTGAACATTCCACAAATCACTGAGAGAGGGGAAAAAAACTGCTTGGACGTAAAAGAATTTATTGTTGTACTGTACATTCGTTGAAATGCTGCCAAGGAGGCAATTTTCAGTCGACCGTTATTTTCGGCTTGGAATTTTCAGTTACAAGATTTTCATGTTTCCCCGAACACATTTAAAATTTTAATATCATATACACTACAACGTTTCATCAACCTTGACAACAATGAAACCGGTTGATCCACACTCAGCAAATCTTGGGCGGCCACGTCGTGAACAATAACTCGCAAATCACTGCACCAACTTCAAACAATTTCAAGATTTTTACATTGATCTCATCCGGAAAGGAACACAAAGATGCTCCTTGTCAAGAAAAAAAGACAAATTTTACAAGTTCCACGTAAAACAACCGTCTTCTTCTTACAAAATTTAATGACCACAGCAGGTTTGAAGCAGCTGCTTGATGACGAGCGAAGGTTTCCGACCTCGCGATCAGCAAACCGTGCGACCAAGTCAGAGACCGACAGGAAGGAACAGAAAATTACCCACCAGTGATTACACTACCGGAACTGATGACGACCGGAACAGTTCCATGCTGCGGTTCAAAAATTCGAGTCTGAACTACGCATCTAACAGCTAATAGTCTGAAGAACTTTCTGGGTTGTATTGGAGCCATGGCAGGCATGAGTAACCTTACAGTAAGTGTTCCCCAATTTTTTGTCAGAGGACGAGGGCAGGTTTGCAGACGTTTTTTGCTGGGTGGTTGGAAATTTTCTTTGGCATGATAAATGCATCGAAAGTAGCGAATTTTTCTGAAATTTTGGAAATACAATCGTAATATTGATATTCTCTGATGAAAAATAAAAGTTGGCTTTTCTCCTAATGATGATTTGGGATAAATTTTCACCCATTGAAATGACTTTTTTTCATTTTGAGAAAGCTTTTTTCAAACGCACCTTTCTAATTTTTGGACACATTCCAATCTATAGCTGCTTCATTGGCTCTTGAAATATATTTTTTTCATAGAGGCAGAAAAATTGTGGACACCTCCCATAAAGTCTTTAAAACAAAATATTTATGAGTCGATCTGCAAAAATTTTTTGAAACCTGGTCAGTTCAAAGAAT